GCTCTTTTAGTGTGTGAGGGGTGAGAGGAGCGGTAGTGGACCACTATATTCTTACTGCTCGGCTTTCGATACCATTTTGTGGTGTAGCCGTTCTCGGATAGGTTAATTTGAAGGTTTAGAAATGGAAGCCAGTTTTCTTTCGGTTTCTCACGGGTGAATTTTATGTACTCTGACTGTTCATTCAATAACTTAAAGCATTTGTCCATCTCCTCTTGTGTGGAGCAGATGACAAAACAATCATCTATGTACCTACAGTAGAGTAATGGCGTGAGATCGATTACTGGTGCTTCCACTTTAGACATAAAGGCAACGGCAAGGGTTGGTGCCAGTCGCTGTCCCATTGCCAACCCTCTAATTTGCGCGTAATATTTCCCGGACCATCTGAAGATCGAGCAGTTTAAACAGACCTTCAGGAGGACCATAAGCTGCTGAATCGAAAAGCCATACATGTTAATCGCTCCTTCGTGTTTCTCAAGAAGCTCACGGATGGCTTGCATTGCGGAGTCGTTCGACACGTTAGTGTAAAGAGCGGTAACGTCGAACGATTCCATAACGTACGCGCTTTTGGGACGTGCGTTACGCAGACGGTCTAGGAACATTTGGGTGTTCGTGAGATGGGCTGGTATGTGCCTAAGCAACTGGTTGAGAATTAGGTTTATAAACCAAGCAATTCTATCTGTAGGCCCGTCTACACAACTGATGATAAATTCTAATAATAAATTCTTAATGCGTTTTATCAACACCTACTTACCCTCTTGAGAAGAAAAGCACACTTGGTCATTTTTATCTGCGGTACCCATTACTATTACTATTGCTATTGTTCCACGGACCTCCCTCATATAATGAATCCCGAGCCGGTAAGTTGCGAGGTTACGTGGCGTGAGGACAACAATGTTATCGCTATTGTTAGCACTAATTTGTTCCTTCCTACTTACCACTCTTTTTTATATTTGGTTGCCTTTTTTCTTCGAACTTTTTACCATGTCCGCGCTACAACCTGTAGAGCTTAAAGAGATTAACGAGCTGTCACTCCTTAAATGCAAAGAAAGTACTTTTAAGAAACACGTTTAGAGCAGCCACCAATGTGTGCAGAGGAAGAGAGTAGAAAGAAGAATCTTTGAGATTCGCGCGTTAAGCAGCCATTTCCAATAGATGTGAAACCATACACTTTCAAGGAACTTATATAGGAAAACCGATGCCAACAAACGATTATTCGTCCCATTTATCCTGCACTTTATTTCTCGCGCAATAAGTGCAGCTACAAAACGTTTAAGAAGAACCAGCTTATAGAATTCGGTAACTGTGGCTAAAATACCAGGGTCAAAATGTCATTTTGAAATAGGACGCCAGGTCACGTGTGATAGTGAGGCATTCGTCTTTCCTGTTCATCTTTGGATTTTCGAAATTTATCCAAAACGCCTCAAAGAGTTTTGCACGTTGATGTTTTCGATTCCTGCGCTAGGATCCGCACATTCACTTCAAAATNATCGCCGTTGTTCTTTTGTGCCTAATGCGTACCTAGAGGGGTGTTTAAACGGATTTTAGCTTTCCCATCTAGATGTTCTTTTATGCGGACACAAAGTGGTCTACCCGTTTCCCTGATATATTCTTCGCCGCATGCATTACATGAGATTAAGTATATTATACCTGAACTCATGCAATGCCCGTATCTCACGTTAGGACAGATCGTACAGTTTTCTCAGCTGCACAAGCGATCATAGAGACGGTTGCGAAGTAACTGATGGTGTAGAGTATTGGGTGGGATGTCAATAATCGTTATATAATTATCAACACCACTTCTTAAGCATCCCTTAATGGCGCAACTTACTTCATTTCATATGAAAGGTAGCTTAAAGTGGATCTTACTTACGTCCGAAACACTATTTTGGGGAACTACCCTATGTTTTTGTGTAACCGGAGTGGCTTCTACTTCGTAGCCATTGGAAACGGCTATTTTTCGTACCAGCTTTAGCGATTCCTTGCCTTCCTCTTCTCCTGTGTACACATTTTTAGCCGTACGATACATGTGTTTGATAAGTGCTTTTTCCATGTGTGAAGGATGAGAGGAGAGGCAGCGAACTAGAATGTTTTTACTACTTGGCTTGCGATACCAATTTGTTATATAGCCACTTACTGAGAGCTTTATTTGGATGTTTAAGAATGGAAGCCAGTTCTCGGTAGGATTTTCTCGCGTAAATTTTATATACCCTAACTGTTGGTTTAACAATTCAAAGCACTCATCCATCTGTTCTTGTGTGGAACAGACGATGAAGCAGTCGTCTATGTATCGACAGTAGAGTAAGAGTCGGTGATCGAGAACTGGAGCTTCCACCTTAGACATGAAAGCGATGGTAAGGCTTGGTGCTAAACGCTGTCCCATCGCCAACCCTCTAATTGTGCAAAATATTTCCCAGACCACCTAAAGATTGAACAACTAAGATACTGGTTTATCGATCAATAACATCAAAAACAACTACAACGACAACGAAGATCTGTACCAACCTCGTGTCAGCTTAAGAAGACCAGTTTATAAGATCACATAAATAAATACATCAACCATCTATGCCAAGGTTTATTGAAAATCAGTCTTTCGAATTATTACGATAACCTACATTGGTGACACACGAGACCAATACCGATCCAAAAAGCGGGCGAACCCTGACAAGGGTGAACCTGGGTAGTCGACGACCCTGGACAAGGGCGAACCTGATGGCAATTAACGAGGCTATTTATATACTTCTGGAGAAGGCGGTATTTGGCACAGGTCCAGCATCTTTACTGAAAACGTTCGTCGGCTACCGTCTCCATATCCTCTCAAAACCACACATCATCTGGCGGAAGACTGCAATCGCAAATATCCCCCTTCTTGTTATTGTACGCGTGATGACTTTTGGACAGTAATAACATACAATGAGTTCAGATTGAAAAAATAGGTTTGCATAACAAGACTGTTTACAGCGATCGAAGTTCCTAAGGATGGGATCGAAATATTTACGTACTACTACATTTGCTAGGCAACTTGAGAAACAGTGTATATGATCCTTAATACTGAAACATACAGTAGTAGAAAGATACAAATATATATAGAAAGAAATAGAAACTATCCTGGGAATAGTTGCTATACCAACTAAGAGTAATTCTGCGCCACCACAACAGAGCGCGATGAACTACCCATAGCTACTCTCTGGCCAAGCCTGGTAAGAAGGACGGTTGTCATGCCAAAAGTATAACGTTCTCTATTCCTCTCAGTCTTACGGATTCCACTGAGGCGCTCTGCTGACCAGTGAAACGAATGGAGTTAACTTTGCTCGTTGAGCTACTTTATTAGAAACAGGACTCAGTGATACAGATGATACAGACGGTTGTATTGAGTAAACCAATTACACCTCGTAAGTATCTACACCTTCTGTACGTTGTAAAATACTTTCTATAGTTATGATAAGACGGAATCATTGTCAAAGCAGTGTCAGATCGGTTTTTCTTATCTACGATCTCTGCATCGCATCATCAGTGAACAAAGATGTTCAGTAGCTTCTAGATTTTTTCTATTGAATAAGGAAGAAAGCATGAACGTTACCTCAGAATCCTTCACAATCGATCAAATGACCATTTGTTTACATAAGAAAGATTATAGCCATAATGCTGCTGAGATATTTGCAAAACTCCGGATCGTTGGTGTCTGCAGTGGCGAGCGAACACGCTATTACCACTTCCGGGAGCTAACGCACTCCCCACCATACTATGCGATTCCTTCGTTTCGCTTTTTTTCGCTCAGCCATGTTAAGTAAGGATTATTTAGACATTTTGATGACCAGTTTTTACAAAAAACCATACATACCCGTGCCTTCTGGGACGGAAGCGATATCCGGCAAATGTTTTTAGATTGGAAATCTCAAATTTGTACATAATTTGTGTCACTCTGTTGTGACCATAAAGTCCCTTGGTGCAAAAGAGGTTTAAAAATAAATTTCCTAAGCATTTACATAGTACCAACTAATGCCCGTAAAATTTCGAAAGTAACGTAAACGAAAGTAAAATGCCCGTAAAGTAACTTAGGAACATTGCTTAACTTATTTTGTATATGTTTTATGACTTTCCTTTGTTTTACGAACTAGTTCTTTTATAATTTTTTCATTTCCTTAATAAAATCTTTCAAAGCGGCATAAAAGATAAAAGGACAACGCTCCCGGTACTTACTGATCAATCCTGAGAGATATGTCGTCCATACAACTTCATTAAGCATCGTTGGAGGTGACTTGATGCCCATCTGGCCTTTACGATGACTCGCTGTGGCCATACAGATGTATGGAGCCAGTGTTGCTATCCTCCCAGACAAGTTTGGTACCAATCCATCGACCCCGCAGGGATGGCAGGCTCTGCGGACCCTAGGGCGGGGATCGAACACACGTGTGTGTTGCAAAGCGCCTCCGTCCACTCCCTACACGCACTTTCAGAAAGTGGTATACCACTTGCAACTCATGTTGTGGATTAAACGAAGAAAAAGAAACAAAGTGAAGTGAGAAAGCAAGTTTCAAAACCCCACAACAAAGCAGACACGTATATAATTCTTTTATGTTTTCAGCCATATTACATGTTACATAACAATTGCTTTAAAAGTACGCCTTGTCTCTTTTTACCTTAGGATAAATAGATTTTTCAGCAATTCGCACGAAGGTGTAAAACCACAACTCTTCCCAGATGCCTGGGTGAATTGATTACTTCTCGGTTGTTAATGATAACCACCTGATAACGATAACACTAAATACGTAGCAACACAAACGATAGACAAAAAGAAACCTCCTATGAAAACTTAGCTAGTTGGTAGTTCTCGAAACGAAAGCATCTGAAACAACGCCGCAAGCCATTAATGACAAACGTCGAAACAAACGGCTGACTTCTACGAAACAGTTCATTAAATATTTACGACACCATACCGAGATGTCTTACAGCAATAAGGTTGAGAGTTTACAAGGCAATATATTTACTCCATAGTTCGTCGCCTAATAACATCTATTCTAGGTAAGGCGGGTAGTGATGGCTTAATTGACTTTATTAAACATGGAATTAGCAATTAAATCTAACAATAAACTGATCAAAATATCTCCGGACAATTCGACCAGTCGCCTAATGCTTTCTTTTCCCAGTATTCGCCGAGATACTTATGGATGAGCGTCCCAGTAAGTTCGTCCTGAGTTTTTTGGAACCATTTGGGCTGATATTCCTCGTACGACAAACCTAAAAAGTAGAATAACTGAAGTTATAGACATTGTTAGAAGCGGTAGAATAATTGCTCTTTTCGGATTATATGACTTTACAAAAAGTCAAGCGGTGATACCGTATAGTACGAGGAAGAAGGTATTTCGACTGCACTCTGTAACCACCAATCCTCCCATCTCTCAGTGGTCAGGGATTTGGTACCAGTCCACTCTAGGATCAGCTAGCTCCCTCCAATCCACAAAAAGATGACGCCAGTCTATCACAAAATACGCGGGAACATTGGCTCAACCAGCATTAAACGACATTCATAAAGAAAACCAAAAATAGTCAGCAGTAGAAGAACACACGAGCAAGTAATACGTTTGTGGTAGACGCAGGAAATGACAAAAGAAATCAAGAGCAGCAAGTGCTGGGATAAACACAAGTAGTGTCGGATGTTGGACCCTGTATAAAAATTATAACCAATTTTTAATGCAGGATCTCAGCAACATTTTCAAAACTATGAAGGAAATTGGTTGCGAAATTGTCGTCGCCATTGTGCTAAGATGATATAAACCCTTGTTTCCCATCCGGAGAAAACCCACTTCGCTCCGTACCATGGTAAAAGAAGGAAAGACTTCGTAGGTGGCCGAATATCCAGATGACTCGCAGTCTGACTCAAAAAACAAACAACTTCAAAAATTCACTTTCTATGTTGTGGTATTGCATTATATACAGCCAACACCGCCGAATATTTACGTAACCATCGAAAACGTAGTCTGAGCACTGGTAAGGGACCACATTGAAGTGAGAATCGATAGTTAACAATTATACCATCATCGCTTTACCGATGGCATCGTTCTTGTAGCGCCAAACATTAGCCACGTGGAACAAATGCTTGCTGCCTTTGATAACGCCTGTGGAAAGATTGGTCTTCGACTAAATTTCACAAAAACGATGTTCACGAGGAACTGATTGGTTTCGTGTGCCCTATTCACGCTCAAAGGAACAAACATCTCCGACTGCTCCAGTTACGTGTATCTAAGCTTGGAAAACAACATGATGAACGACGTAGTTCCAGAGTTGAGCAGGAGGAAGCGAGCGGCTTTTAGAGCTTTCAAGTACGTCGATGATGTAGTGAGGACAACACAGAGCACCCGCTTCCGTGCAAACCTCTTCGACTCCATAATTCTTCCTGCCTTAACGTATGCGTCGGCAACTTGCTTGCTGCGTAAGCAATATTAAAGATCACTCAGCGATGCAGAACGCACAGCCAAAAGGACGATGCCAGAGCGTCCCCTATCACGAAAGTGATAGAAGGTATACCAAGGTCCGACTTACGTCAACGATGAAAAAGCAAAGACACCGCTTTATACGCCAAATTGTCGAAGGTGGGCCTGACACGTAACGCGTATGGACGACAATCAATGGACAAGAGCAATTAGTGATTGAATTTTCCGGGATATCAAACGTCCTGCAAGAAGACCACCGACTCAACGGTCAGAGTTCCTCACGAAAACCCTAGAAGAAAGATATGGTGATCAACGAGTCTCTATAGCGAGCAAAACTTACTAGGCTACTCTTATATGCGACAAAGAGAAGTGGAAAATTTAGTGGCGCCCGCTCTGATTACTCGACGATCAATAGGATGACAGGTGATGCAGGTTATACAGCCAACACTTGCAAGTCTCAGCTTTAAAATGATTCGTAGAAGTCCAATAAGGACAGAAACAACTAAGACAATGCGCTATTAATTTCTACTCTTCCTATGATACAATGAAAGTTGTTTAAGTTTCACCAATCATAGGACTCACAGTGACTGCGAATTTAACATACCGTTCTGCATGGCCTTCTCCATTTCCGCCTCCCGTTTTCTCCTCATAGCTCGCTGCTTTTCTTCAAGTTCAAGCTTTTTTCTGTTTGCTTCATCCCAGCTGAAACAATAAAATCAAATAGTATGCATGTATAACTCACAGTGACTTCGTATTTAAGTATAATACGTAACATACACTTCACTAAGAATAAAAGACAAAGTGTACCCCTTGACTAACAAATTAGATATGTTCTATGTATTCGGATCCACTAAGCACGTATAGGTAATTGAAGGTATATATAGCTAACACAATGACTTGTGATGGTTTAACTATGTAGCTGTATCCTATTCTATTTTTACCATCATACCAGACGAAACGTGCGAATTCGCCAGCATGGATTGACGGGGCAGACTCGGTTAACACGGATTAAGGGATCAAATCAACGACTACGATTGTGTTGCAGAATAACTCTAACCATTTCGCTACCCATGCCCCCACAAGATCCTTCATCGCAGTCACTGAAGATTAAAGAACCTTCGGCGATTTTTTGTAAACCACGCAACATACCGTCCTTCCTCCATAAGCCGTTGATCTGGTCGTAATCGGCTATCAGTTGGGGCTACTCCTGGCTCCGGCTCATTGAGTTGAATTGCCAAACGTGTGAAATTGTGCATTCGTTCAGCTCCAGAGCTGAAATATGGAAACAACCAAAATGATGAAATTTTCTTCTGAAAAATAACAACACAATTGCAGGATATTTCTAATAATCGTCATTTGTGAGCTCGAACATACCACATATTCTATACACGCTTATAAGAATAATATACAACAAAGCTCTACTTCCATTCAATTTCTAAACTCGTAATGTAGGTCGTATGTACCACCCATAGTTACGTCAACAAGCCTCCATTACTTCATTCAATATATTGAAGCTATTTCTAGCTGAAATCATTGCTAGGTAACGCTGGTTCTTCAGCCAGTTTCTTTGACAGATGCAACTGTATTCCATGCTGCATGTTGTTTCTTATTAGTTTATTCCTTTTAAAAAAAAAAGCCATGTTTATTAGTTGTTGATATACGTAAAATCACCATAATCCGAAAGTCATCCATCTCAAATCATTTTACATATGTATTAAGTATTCTTAAGGAACTGTGACCTTTCAATGTTCTCTGTTAGGAAAAGTCTCGCGTTGTGTAACTGCGTAAGCGTTCAAGGCTATGTGGTCGCAATCCCATCCCTATTCTGCAGCGCTGAAGGGGAATAACTCACGATGATGGCATAAATTCTGCCTGCAGAGCTGTAGAGAATATCTTTTAATTCTTATACTGCAGGGGATTTTCTAACGAGAATTTTTAAACTGATGAATTGTGTGGCAACGTGTACCAACATTTAAACATTTTTTTAGGTAGAAACAATGAGCAAGAACAAAGAATACGAATATGAGCTTGTTAACAACGTACACAGGTGGATTCACTGTCCAGATGCGTTTTGGCTCCAACTCTGTTTCGATTTTTGATTTATCGCCACTTCTTATAGTTTTTACAACTTTGAACATGTCCACAAAAGCATCCCAGGTGCCTTGAACGACTAGCTGTGGCTCACCAGACGGATTTCGTACCACCCCGTAAATCTGAAAAACAACGACAACAATATAGGCTTGCAGAAAGCTTCTGCATCACTAATTTGGAAGTGGGAAGTAAATTGCAAAATTTAAACCCAAGGCTAGATCAAACCAGTTAGCACCCTCTCCGGAAGCTCATGTGTAGCCCACTGAGCCATTAGGCCTTTGGAGGGATATTTTAAAAAAAGAAACAGAAACAAAAACGAAACTATATTCAACAAACCTTTCTGGGTACTTCCCGACTAAAGTAGGAATAAGGGAAAAACTTCACGACACACTTATCACCAGTGCCATGATTAACGATCTCCATTTCCCCGTGATTATCAATCCATAGTTTGCCAACAATAATATTGTGTACAGTGGTAGTAACCTAAAGCAAAGGAAAAAAAATCATCAAAACCATTTAAGAAGTTGTACACAGCAGTATTAGTCGGCTGGAAACGAATCACTAATGTTAAGAATTAACCACGCTATATGTACACTACCGAGAACAGTAAACCAAGTCTTCCAAAATTTCGATTTCAAAACCCTAGGGTAGGTGAAAATTGGAAATGTGACGGAAGTAACATGTTCTAACACATCGACGAACATATATATATATATATATATATATATATATATATATATATATATATATAT